TGACTGCTGCTTCCGTTGGCATCGATTGTAGAACCAAGCAATGTGAATTCCTTGACAACCTCAATCTTCTCTCCATTGATTGTGATGCTGCTCATTGGTCCAGTTGTGAGGATTTTTGTTTTCTTTATGTTGAGATGTAATCCATACTGCAGACTGTATTCTTCAACCTTCATCAGTAGGTGCCTTAAGTCATCCTCACTTTCAGCAAGCAAAGTTGTATCGTCTGCATATCTCAGGTTGTTAATGATTCTTCCTCCAATCCTGATACCACGTTTTTCTTCATATAGTCCAGCTTCTCGGATTATTTGCTCAGCATATAGATTGATGGCACAACATAGAAGATTCCTAATGATGACCATTGGCATTAAGTTCTTAAATGTGGGATAAATTCACATCAAAGATTACAGAAAATGTAAGTGTGCCTCAGAGCCCAGGGTCAGTTTTTTAAGATCCTTCTCGAGTTGACAAATAGCATGTAAATGGAGCTCTACATTTGTGCAAGGCTTTGTCTATAGGAACGCTTTCTCATCCATTTGTTTCAATCTCTTCCCTCATAAGTCTATTAACATAAGATGATTTGAACTCACTGTTATAATGCTCTCTAAGATCGATCCATTCTTTAATTGCAATCGTTAGTGATTACTATTCTATTGTCCTCTCGGGAAGGCGATGTGCAGAAACCTGGATCCAGTCCACCCAGCCTGTTTCACTTGGCAGAAGCTCCCCTCTGACAAGAATGTGAATCACCTGAGAAGTGTGAAGTGTTCCCAAACATGGGGTGTTGTTTCTATGCAGTTACTAGCTGTCTTCAGGTTTTCCAGAAAAATAAAACCAGTGATATAGACACAGATATGGATATAGAGAGGTTTACTTCAAGGAATTGGTTCACACAAATGTGGGGGCCTGACAAGTCCATAATCTGTAGGTCAGGCAGCAGGCTGGACATGCGTGCAGGCTTATGTTCCAAAATCCATAGATCAGGTGAAGAGTGAAGAGTGAAAGAGTTCTGGCAAGATGCCTATTTATAGTCTGGTTTCCAGTGGCACCCGGCAGTGGTACCACCATGAGGAACCTGCCCAAGTGCCAGGGAGGGGAATGTTGGTCTTTTTTTTTTTT